TTTCCTCTTTTGAAATCGAGACAAAAGTTTGGGAGCCATGGTACAAATAAGTAAACCCATAATTTAGTGGAATCTTTAACAATATACGTTAGTAATTTTCTCTATAAAGTTCAAAGCATTTAATTTAATTAATTGTGAATTGAGAATTCCATAATTACAATATTGATAACACTAAATAAAAAAGCAAGAATCTACTAGTATTTAATTATACATTACATTAGCATTTAGAAAAATAATATAAAATTAGAAAATTTCTGAAAATACAAACAAATAACTAAATAAGCAGATAAAAAACATAGACAGATAGAAATAACTATAGAACCTGGAGCATAGAAGCCTAGAAATATAAGTCAAACTGCCCAAGGGAAAACAAATAAAAAAATAACTAGAAAATACATATGTATAATACTAATAAATATAAAATTTTGGGCCCCTAATTTTTACAAATATTTGGGGCCCTGAGGCCCATGCCTCTCCAGCCTTACATAAGGCACGGCCCTGAGGATAGGCATGTTGGGTATTGGGAAGGAGTGGTGGATCCCTTCTAAAGAATAATAGAATGTGTTTTTATAAACACCCAAAAATAAAATAAAAAGAACGAAATATATATGCTTAGAGTTAGCACATTGACTTTTCTTGATCAATGACGACCATGTTTGATCAATGTTATTTTTAAATACAAAATTATTTAAAATATGAAAATTGTATAAAAGTTCTTTGTTAAAAATGCAAAAGTTATAAAGTCTTCACGAACATAAACCCAAAATTATTATCCAAAATCTAAGATCATTGAGCACTAAAAGCCAATTTCGTCAAATTTTATGAAACAAAGGAAGTAATATTTTGACATTTAGCTCCACTTATTAGTTTTTTGAGAAAAAAAATCATTTTTCACAAATGAGTCTTTATCGTCACATTTTTAAATTATTAGAAATAATGTAATAAACTTAAAATTCATCCAGTGCAACGCACGGGTGAAATTCTAGAAAAGAAAAAAGAGGGCAAGAGTTTTAGGTATGCTTAATACTTTGACAGAAAAAAGTGGCACGGATGATGCCTTATGGGACGTTAAAGTGGTTTCATAACAAAGCAAATACCCATACAATGTAGTACAAATATTATATTATTTATTTTTGTATGTTTTTTTTTAAGGAAAATGTGCATTTTATTAATCAAAGGAAAAAAAGTACATGGCGAAAAATAGAAAAAGCAAAAGAATAACAAAGAAGGAAAAAAGAGAGAAAGAGTAAACAATATAAAAAAGAAAAATGGTAAAGGTACCCCAATTTGTACCCTCACCATATTTTTGTTGCTCACAAAAGCACCTCATTAAAGTGGGGCAATTCATTTATTGAGGTGAGCTTTTGTGAGCCACAAAAATAGGTTGGGGTACAAATTGGGGGTACCAATTGGGGTACCTATAGCAACATTGTATAAAAAGCTAGTCCATGGGAAATCTCTAGATTGAGACCTTGTTGTCATGCTATGACGCCTTTTGTTCTTTTGCGATTTCCTGTAGATTTTCAGTTGTGTGTTCAAATTTTCAGTTGGCGGGCTATTTTCTAAGGTAATGAAATTGGCTTTCCGGCAAATCGCGGTATTGAATTTGGGCTTCCTGATTTCCTTCCGGGTATGAGATAGGAGGATGACGATCACTTTCAGTTACAGGTCCCAAAAAGTCATCTGTGAATAATGCGACGTCTGAATGATCAAAATTGTCAAAATCGTCTGAATAATGCATATGTGGTTGTTTCCCGGAAGAAATAACTTGTTGATTCTCGGTACCGGCTTTTGTATGTATAAATGTAGTATTAATAATTTAGAAAATAGAAATTTTATTTTGGTTTGAGCTCGAGCATCCAATTCGAGTTCAAACCTATAGAAATTAATTAGTAGAACTCGACCTGAGCTCGAACCGAGTTCGAGTTGAGCTCCAACTCGTGAATTCTTAGCAAAGCTCAATAAGTGAAACCAAACATATTTCCAAAAAGTATAGAATTGAAAGATCCAAATTTCATCCCAATTGTGGAATGTGGAGGTTATAGCTAGAGCAAAACGTGAAATGAAACATTTTCTAAAAAGTATAAGAAATGCCCAAATTCGTCCAAACGAAAGACCAGTACAAAAAATTAAACCAATCATATTTCTAAAAAGTATATTTACTGACTTCGATTGCAACATACATTCTAAAATTTGTCAAACTCTTTTTCTAAGATTCACTCTAGCCTTCCAAAAAATATCACTCCAGCCTTCATTTTGTAGAGTGGTCTTTGCAGCACCGTGTTTGAGGATAGAGAGTTGAATTCTAGTTCCCTGGGCTTTTTTTTTTCGGAAACAATAATAGAATGTCCCGAATTGAAGTATGAGGAATATACCAAAGTGAAAACCCATGACACGCGCACTCAAGACACGGTGTCAATACATAAAAAACAATTTTTTATTATAAAACTTTTTTTGAAAGGAAAAAGATCATTTTATTAATTCAAGCAATCATTCGCCAATTGGCTCGAAATACAATGAAGACTACCATCAAAGTAACCACAACCCGTCTTGAATAATGCGTCCCTAGCAACCTTATGCGTCACATGATTCGCGAATCGCTTACAATACTGGGCAATAAACCTAACTTCATTATGAAGAATTTGTCTAATATCATCAATGATAGTGTCAAAATATGAGTTTCCCGGATCTTCCCCCAGTCTTGTTGTGATCAACTGGGTGTCTGTTTCTATCACAACTCAGTTCCATCATTGATTTTGTGCCCATGTAGCTGCTGCTCTAACTCCAAGAGCCTCTGTGATACTTGCTGACCAATCTGCTGTATGATGTTCCCATCCTCCTCTTATAAGCTCGTCGTAGTGGTCTCTAGCAACCCATCCCCAAGCTCTGCATCTCCGATGATCATCAGTGGCTCCATCGACATTAATCTTGATTGTTCCAGCCGAAGGTTTGACCCATTGAGTCTCCTCTGTTGCTGCATTTTGTGCTCCCTCCGTATTCTGAGTAGCCCGCCATCCTAGCAACACTGAAGCTCCCATGTTTATCACCTGTAAAGCATTAAAACAATGGTTATTCCACACCACCTCGCTGCGCTCCTTCCATATGCTTCATAGTATGACTATAAATTTGCATAAGTCCTCCTTGGCTAAGGTGGTAAAAAGTTTTTCCATCCACTCCTGCCATGATGACGCAAATCGTCAGAAATCAATCCCAGCTTTTTCCCAGGCTGCAACCACTGCTCGACAATCTCTAAAAAGATGGATCCTAGACTCATCCTCCTCATTGCACAACTTGCAACTACCTGGTATATTCACCAGCCACTGTCTCAGCTTTTCTGTCGTAGGCAACACATCTGTCATAACTTGCCAAAAAAAGTGTTTAATTTTTGGTGGCAGGAAAAACCCCCACATCTTGGTCCACCCCATCCAACTATTCTCCACAATATCACCAGTCAGCCTCCTGTATCCGGATTTAACTGTATACTGTCCTGAGAATTCCCAATCCACCCGTACCCATCTCTTATCTCCCTACGACTTAAGGGGATACTTAAAATAGCTGAACTTCTCTATCATTAAAAATAGATCTAACCTTTTCCAAATTCCAACCTGACTTGTCCTCCTTAAGCAACGCCACAAACATTCATATAAAAACCCCACTCGGTTTCGCCGAAGAAACCAAACCATTGCCTCCCCCCGTCAACCACTTGTCATACCAAACAGAGATATTTTGCCCGTTCCCAACCCACCTCCTGGTCCCCTCCCGAATGACGCTTTGTGCTTCAAGAATACTACGCCAGATGAACGAAAGGTTGCTTCCTATTTTTGCTTCCAAAAAAGAGGATTTGGGAAAATAGCGGGCCTTGAACACCTTCCCCACTAACGAATCAGGATCAGTAGTGAGTCGCCAAGCTTGTTTTCCAAGCATAGCAATATTAAAATCTCTTAAAGATCGATAACCCAATCCACCTTGAGATTTAGGAAGACATAATGCCTTCCAGGATTTCCATCGTATACCACGCCCAGTTAAATCCTTCCCTCGCCACCAATAGCCATTCATTAATCTCTCAATATCTAAACAAAGGTCGGGTGGTAGAAGAAACACATTCATGGCATATGTCGGCATTGCTTGAATGACCGTCTTTAACAAAACCTCCCTCCCAGCCTTGGACAGAAATCTGTTATTCCAGCTAGTAATTCGTTTTAGGATTCTCTCTATCAGATATCCCAGAATCTCATTCTTCCGTCTTCCTACTAATGTAGGTAGCCCCAAATAACGATTACACATCTCACCTGTTGAAACACCCAAAGTGTCACAGATCCTGTTCCTCATCCACTCCTGAACATTGGGACTAAAAGATATCGATGATTTATCAAAAATTATATTTTGCCCTGAGGCACAGGCGTCTGTATTTAGAATTCCTTTGATCACCAAACTCTCATCCTCTCTGGCTCAGAAAAATAGAAAGCTATCATATGCAAAGAAGAGATGTGATATACGCGGTGCTCCCCGAGCTACAGACACTCCATGAATGTTCCCCCGGGTCTCATTCTTTCGAATAAGCAAACTCAGTCCTTTAGCAATAAGGATAAACAAATAGGGAGAAAGGGGATCGCCCTGGCGAAGACCACGTTGGGGTCTAAACGGTCCTATAGTAGCACCATCAAAAGGGATGCAATACTCCACACCCGTAACACAAAGCCGAATAAGATGAATCCATCTGGGATCAAAACCCATGGCATCCATTGCCTTAAAAAGAAAATCCCACTCCACCCTATCATAAGCGTTGCTCATATCCAATTTAAGTGCCACAAAGCCTTCTTTACCTTGGGATTTTCTCTTAAGATAGTGGTGAGTTTCGAAAGCAATCATAATATTATCCACAATGGATCTGCCCAGGACAAAAGCACTTTGGGTATTGGAAATAAGGTAATTCAAACAACCTTTTAGACGATTAGCCATGACTTTAGCAAAAATCTTATAAATCACTGAGCATAAAGAAATGGGTCTCCAATCTCCCATATTTTCGGGGTTCTCTTTTTTAGGTATAAGAACAAGATTAGTAACATTTACCCCATTGGGAAGATGACCGGTCTCAAAAATATTTTTGCAATAATGAAAAACATCACATCCCACAATATCCCAGTAATGTTGGAAAAAACTTGGATTAAGGCTATCAGGCCCTGGAGCCTTGTCAGGATGCATTGCAAAAACTGCTTTCTTTACCTCCCCCATCGTAACCAGTCTAAGTAGCCAATCATTATCAGCGCTTGAAACCTGCACTAACCCCGCAAGATCCTCATGTCTCGCCACAACGCCTTCAGACCTAAACAGATCTCGAAAGTACTCCTCCACCATCATTTTAAGTTGGCTCCTGTCGCTCACCCACGTCCCATCAGAACGCTTTAACCTTTTCATAGTATTTATCCGCCTTCTCTGTTTCACTGAATTATGAAAAAACTTAGTGTTCACACCCCCCTCCTTTAGCCAAAAGTCCTTTGCTCGTTGCTTCCAGAAGTCATTTTGTTGTCTTAGGAGATCGATTAGAACCACTTTCACTCTGCGGAACTCGTCTATACTTCTTCTATCATACATATCGGAATAAATTTCACTTTTAGTCTTATGAGTTTTATGTCAATTCCACATTTAGTGCACGCCTTTCATTTTGTCCAGTTTCGGTACATGACTATTGTGTTTTCGTCCATATGTAGTCCTTCCGGTCATGTTTCAGGTGGTTAAAATCGCCGGGGAAGGACCCGAATGGTCAAAAAACATTAATCAAGTATCAAAAGTGGACAAAGTGAAAGAAGTGGACTAAATGTAGAATTGACATAAAATTCGTAGGACCAAAAGTGGAATTAATTCATACATACTGCGCAGATTAGCCAATCTGTGTTTGCACTGATCAATCCTTGCCTAGAACCCCAATTTCCTCCTCCTGCTCCACCTTTCTAAAGCCAGACCGCAATCACTAATTCGTTGCCAGATTCCCCGATGCGGTCTATCTTCCCAACTTTGCCTCACTATCACTTTGCAATCCTCATCTCTCAACCAAATATTTTCGAACTTGAACGTTTTTTTAAAACGCCGCCCGTCTGAATAACCAAAACGGATATATAGCATGAGATGTTCGCTAGACGATCCTTCTAAAGAGCAGGCATGTATCTCTTTAAAGGTGTCCATCCAGCCACTATTAGCCACAATGCGATCCAACTTCTCTTCAATCCACCAGTCTGTACCCCGCCCTCTCTCCTATGTCCATTGGTAGCCATCAAAAGGAATGTTGTTGAGTCCACTCCCCCAGATTGCCTCCCAAAAACCATTGATTTGCCAATTGGGTTGCGGTGTCTGGCCTCTTCTTACATTAACATGGAGAATATCGTTGAAATCTCCTATCATTAACCATGGCATATTATTCTGCCTTGATAGATTACGAATCAGATTCCATGAATCTCTACACCTGTTTATTTCGGGGAAACCATAAAAACCTGTAAACCTCCATTGTGGTTCATCTTCTATCAACTGTATTAGGCAATCAATGTAATTCACACCCCAAGCTTGAATTTGGAGCTTAATTCCATCTCGCCACCATAGACAGACACCTCCACTCTGCCCTTGACTAGCTACAGTAAAACCATTGTTATACTCAATTTTAGGATATTTTTCCTTAACCAAATCCGAGACTGTCGCCAAGTTCCCTAATCCCCTGCAGGTCCAAGAAACAACACTCATTTTCCAGAGAAACAAATCACCTTCAGTCAGTCTCCAAACAAAGGAAAAAAGCTTTCATATACAATAGTTCCAAGGACAAGCTGCAGAGGCTTCTCCACTACAACAACGGACAAGCTGTAGACTTAAAGAACAGAAACGCACCCCAAATCACACCTAGACAAGCTAGGACCAGTCCGCCATTAGGAAGAAGCTTGAACTTCGATTTCTGTGGAACCACGATTTAACAGGACGATGGAGACAAGCAACGGATCTTCAGCATCAGTTGCAGATGTCGATTGGCAGTGCTCTGGCCGCCACCACTTCGCTGGCCGTCAGGCTTCGATCGCCATCTACGGCGCTCGCTAGGTTTAAATCGTCAGCATAAGTTATGCATGATTGTCCACAAGCATAAAACGAAACCTATTTTTTTTTTGTTTTTGTTTCATTCTTAAGATTCTATTGTTATTAACATGATGATTATTTTTAGGGAAAATAGTCCCAACTCCCAAATAAGACCAAATTGTAGCTAAAATTCCAAAATAGGAGTGAGTATAACTTTATTCCCTGAATAGGACTACTCTTCCAATTTTAACCCTTTATAATTCATTTCAGTATAATTTTCAACCATCCGCTTCTTTTAACCTCCGTAGAATAATCCCGAAGGTCTTCCTTGCGCATAGCAGACCTTCAAATCCAAACCGTGTGTAGCAGCTAGAGCCAGCGAACAACTAGTGATGGCGAGCAGCTCCGGCGAGTGGCGGTAAAGAGCGTCGGCGAGCAGTGGCACAGAGCGCCGGTGAGCAGCGGCAGCCAGTGTCAGATCTCTTTACCTTGCACTCCTCCGATTTTCAATTTTTTCGCCTGAATCTTGTCCGGTTGCTGTGGTGCTATGTCTGGGTCTTCTTCTCTCTTCTCTACATCCATGTCGCCTCTTTTGTTCCTGTTTTGTTCTCTAGGAATTTGTTGGAGCTTTTACTGTAATTTCTTCTTCTTCCTCATGTTTGAGTTGGTGAAATAGAACTCGCTTTGTTTACGATTGCCAATTTTTTTTTAAATGCCACTAAAATGGCATTCTTATTCTTTACAAATTTCATATTTTCCTTTTAAAATGCCATTAAGATGGCATTTTGGATTCATGTTGGCATTCTAGTAAAAAAGTTGACATGAGCAGTGGCTTCGGTTAGATCTGTTGTAACGGTGGCCGGATCTACGGTGGAGGCGGCCGGATCTGCAGTGGGGGTGATCGGATCTGTAGGGGCGGCTGTCGGCGGCCGGCGGAGGCCAGATCTACGACGGCGGAGATCATATCAGCCGTGGCGGCAAGTTCTGAAGCGGCAGTGACGTCTGGCGGCGGGCTGTCGGCGGTCTGTCAAGGCTGGTCTGGCCGTCTGAAGGTAGCGATCTATTCTGTGAAGCTCCAGGGGTATTTTTGACCAACTACATATAATAACTCCTATTTAGGGAATTTTTTAACTTTAGTCTTATTTTGACAATTAAGTATTTAATTACTCCCATTTAGGTAAATCTCCCTTATTTTTATTATAAAACTTTAATAAATTTATTTAAAGTTTCAATTGTTGAAGTTTTCTTGAGCCCAAAAAAATTTAAAACAAAAAATTTTAAGGAAATTTTACACAAGTGGACCAAAAATTAAAAATAATATCACTTTTTTCATTTTTGAAATTTCTTTTCAAAAATAGACTAATCAAGTTTTAATTTCAATAATAGACTCTAGCGCTTAACACGGTGACCATTAGTATATATTCTTCCACTTACGGAGTGAGTAGGCTGCTCATAGTCTATGATATATTTGCTACTCCGTACTAGTATATTCTTCCACCATGATAAATTTATACAAAGTCCAAAACTAGTTATTACTCAATTCATAATTTTAAATAGAAAAAAGCAAATATTTAGTAAAATGAAAAAAGATTGAAATAATTAGAAAATAACATAAGTAATAAAAGTAGATAACATAAAAAGTAATAAAATAATAAAATAATGCATAATAAAAAATCAAAGTAGAAAAGTTGCAAGTTAACTTTAAAAATGGAATATAAAGTGGAAAAATAAATAAAAAGAATGTTAACAAAAGTATAGAGAAATTGGAAATACAAAACTCAAAAGTGAAAATGAGAAAGGTTTATAATAGTTTGTAAAGTGGAAAAATTGTAGAAAAGTAACCATTCTTTGTAGTTTTATTTTTAGAAGACTTCATATACCCCTAAATTTATATATAAAAAACAAAAAAATACAAATAATTGAAATGTTATAAAATTAATTAAAAAATGAAATGTATAAATAAAAAAATTAAAAATGAAAAGGTAAAAAATTCTCAAAATATGAAAAAAAAATAAACTCTAAATATATAAAATTTAAAAAAAAATAAAATATATATAAAAAAATGGTTTTGAAAATTTAAAAATTATCATAAGCAACTAGAATCTTTTTTTGAAACAATTTTTATTTTAGGAAACGAAATATATACAAAGTAATTTTTTTAAAAAATAAAGTAAGAAATTTATAAATTCAATAAATAAATATATGACCTATTTGTTTTTTTTTCATATTGTTTGTTTTTATTTCCTTTTGTTGCATATTGTTTCTTTTTGTTTCCTTTTGTTGATATGTCTGGAATTTTTGTTTTTTATTGTTTCAGGAATGCCAATTTATCATTTTTGAGATTTAATATAAATCTACATGTGATCTTTTACTTCAAAAAAGTAGCAAAGATATATAAATAAAATCATGCATAAACAACAAACATCAAGAGCAACAATAAAACTAAAATAACTAACAAAATGCAACAAAGTGCAACACGATGCAACAAAAAACAACATGTTGAAACAAAAAGCAACACATTTAATGCAACAAAAAGAAACAAAAAGAAATATATAAAAGTATCACACCAATTATGTAATTCAATCTGGTATTTCAATGTATTACATATATGTATTGTATAATTTGGCATTCCTTCAGATACTTTTATGCATCTTTTGTTTTAAGAAATAAAATGCACCAAGTGAATACAACAATGGTTGTCCAAGTGTACAGAATACTGCTGCACAAGCTGAAAAAGGCAAAATGGTTTACCCAAGCTGCATATTACTATGAAAGGAGTACTAACTGATGCGCTAATAATATAGAATACTCTATTGTATATATGGAGATAAGGTTGGTTATAAGATGATTTCATCCCTAGTACTAAAGATCTGAGGATGGCTTAACCTTTACTGCTAAGAACTGAAGTACGTACTTCTCTTTCTCTTCTTCAATAAAGTCAACAATGTCAAGGTAGAATACCAATTTTCTCATGCAGACTTCTATAACTGCTTCCGCATATACAACCTTGCTTGTGGCATTATTAGAGTCTTCAGTGCAAGTGTGCAACACCTCAAACAATCAAAAACTGCCTCTTGATCTTTCACATACTCCGAATGTGTTTTGCAATTGGAACAGAGAGCAATATCAGTGAAGCTAAGGCTCTCGCACTCTTTTGTGCTTAGATGTTCCCGAGCAACCAATACAACAACCAAGCAGTAGATTAGAACAGCACCAAAGATCAACAAAGACCAATCCATTTGCATAGCTCTCTCCCTCTCCTTTTATGCATCTTAACATCAATTCTTCCGGTGACTATTTCCGACAAAATATCCTCTATAGTGACCCAATTTTCAATTCTTTCAGATCGGTGAAACAATTGTTCAATTGTATAGCCCAGCCCCGGTCCCCTTTTCCAGCCCCGCCAACAAGACCAGTCCCTGCAAAAGCAACTTCCCAACACAAAACTTGAGACGAATTCAAACCTGCAGCACCAACAATACCGCTAATTACCAGAGCAAGAGTATCCACTAGAAAAGCACGATTCCACTAGATTTCACAAGCTCTGAGGTCGTTCTAAAATCGTATCTATTCAGCCAAAGAGTAATAAACAGCGGAATATAGAAACAAGCAGAACCTTTAGATCAGAACTTATTCACAGTCGAGGAACCACAAACTTGAGACAAATTCAAACCTCTAGCGCCTAATTGAAGAACAAGCTTCTAAACAGCTACTTTAGACGGGAAGATAACTTACCAAGGTGCCGTTGCGGGCTGCGCTGGCTGAGATGGGGCTGCAGCGGGCTCTAGAGGATGTGAATCGGCGTTGGTTGTTGACCGCTGAACAATTGGCTGGTAGAGAGGGGCCGAATCGTTGGGATAAGGGATCGATCGATCCCGAAAAGTGTGTCATGAACTCAAGGCTCCGATTCCAACCTATCAACACTGAGATGCAATCTCCGTTTCTTCAGATGCTGCCTCGTCCGCTGCGATGAAAACAATTTGGAAGATCGATGTAGGAAGAACTCCATGAATTCAAATGCTCAGATAAAGATGTTGAGATAAGAGGGGAGAAGTCGGGGAGTCGGAGAGGATGGCGAATGTTGAAGGTTTAAAAGTATGTGTCGACGGAAGTCACGGAGCCTATCTAGAAGTGAAATAAAAATCCCATTATTGAAAACTTAAAAGTCTATAAATGAAAAGAGAAATCAATCGAGACATCGATGATATCTGATTCTAAAAGAGGGACCGTGTGTGTAATTTCCACAAATTTTAATTCATAGGGCTTCACAAATAACTGAACATTCTCTAATGGAACTTTACTTGAACTAAGTTCATCTTTTATTAACCGAAAAAAAGATATGTATTTTTTATTTCATAAATATGTAATGTAATGAAATTTATTACATAAGTATTTTTTTAAAAACTAATTAGTTATTAAAATAATGTAATGAAATTTATTTTTTTCATCGAAATATGTATTTTTTATTTCATAAATATTAAAGGAAAAAAATCAAAAGGAAAACATTACTTAAAATAATTTAAATGATGTTGTTGAGGTATATTATCCCGGCCTACTACTGTTCAAGGGTCCAAGATATTACCCAGTTCAGAGCCCGGATGGCGAAGGCCATTCCAAGCCTATTGGGCATGTTTCGGCCTTTGGGCCCATTTCGGCCCATTCGGCCCATTTGGGTAGGTTTTACCCTACTCCCTTTCCCCTATAAATATGGGGCTTTCCCACGTGTTTAGGGATCCTTTTTTGGTTGGCTTCTTCTTTCCCAATTCCCCCCTTCTCTCTAGAATAGCTAGCTAGCTTACAATACTCCATTAATGGGAGCTTGAATATTGTACAATGTAATGGTAAGGAGAATCCTATATATAATGAGAAAGAGAGGGCTTGGACATTAGCCTAAAAAGTCCCGTGGTTTTCTCCCTTTCGGGTTTCCACGTAAAAACTGAGCTTGTTCATACACATTTATACATATATTTACTATATCGTGTTGGATTAAACTCAACAAATGTTTTACTAAATTGATATGTAAAAAATATGCTGAATTATTTTATTGACGGGATTTTTAATTTAGTAATTCTATGATTTTTTTTGTCTTCTATTGTGCCACATAACAGTATAACACAAGGTAACATATAGGTAGTGGAAAAAATTAAAATAAAAAATTGGTTAATGGAAATCAAATCAACACGTAGTCCCTGTGAA